ATTACACTGCTGGGCTGTATAAATATTATGCTCCACAAAATGGTACCAAGCAGATATTTTTAGGAGGTCACAGATGTTTCTTGTGATTAGGCAAGTCACAGGTCTGGAAGAATTTTTTTTTTTTCTTCCCAAAAGAAAAGTTGAAGAGGATCTTGAGTTGTCACTCAGGGTCCTTCCTAGCATGGTGAAGCATGGGCACCGGGTGGTGTATATTAACAGCACACAGCAGACTCCTTTTCTGGCTCCTCTCGGGCCCTGTCATTGTCAGTTTCCCCCTGAAACCCAGTAGGTGAGGTCCAAAGTCCAGGATCATGGAGCAGGCCAGAGGCCAAGTGAATCAGAAGTCAGACCCCAACACAGGCTGTTCCTCTGCTCCTGGACCTTGCCCCGTCTCTTGACTCATGCCACCAACATTTATGAAGTTCTGATTGCGTGCAAGACACCACAACATAGCTGTCACTGCAAACTTAGATGAGATGCGAACAAGTAAGTGACAAAATAATACTTCCAATCACACAAGTATACAAGAAGGCTCACCTCAACACTGCTTATAATTGCCCACACTAGAAACAATCCCAACACAATGGAACCCACTCAGCAATGAAACAAGTGAACAGTAACTTGACATGACAGTGTGGATGCCTCTCAGACACGGGATGCTCAGTGGAAGGAGCCAGACACAGCAGGGTGTGTGCCACAGAGTGCCATTGTATAAAGCACACCAACAGGCAAAGCTCAATGCGTGGTGTCAGAAGTCAAAATAGTGGCTGTCCTTGAAAAGACAGTAATTAAAGGGGGTGAGAGCAGGGATTCTGGGGGGCCGGTCATACCCTATTTCTTGGGCCAGGTGCTAGGTGCACAGGTGTGTCCCAGTGGGGAGAATTTGTTGAGCTGCGCACTTAGGATGTGTAGACTCCTCCCCACGTACGTTTTTCTTCAATTTTAAAAAATTATTTAAAACATAAATAGGCTGGGTGCAGTGACTCAGACCTGTAATCCCAATGCTTTTCTTTTTTATTTTAGTTTTTAGTTTTTTATTTTGAAGATGTGGAGTACAACTCAGGGTTAGCTATACAAATGTTCATTATGCAGGTACACTTGTTCCCAATGCTTTAAGTGGCTGAGGGAGAAGGATCACTTGAGACCAGGAGCTAGAGACCAGCCTGGGCAACATAGCGAGACCACCATCTCTACCAAAAAAAATGTATTACCCAGGCGTGGTGGTACACACTTGCAGTCCTAGATACTGGAGAGGCTGAGGTGGGAGAATCACTTAAGCCCAGGAGTTCGGGGCTGCAGTAAGCCATGATGGCACCACTGCACTCCAGCGTGGACAACAGAGCGAGACTCTGTCTCTAAATAAATAAATAAAATTTTAAAAGCAACTTTCCCAAGGTCCCACAGCTAGGAAATGACAGGGTAAGATCCAGCCCTAGGCAGTTGGCCTCCAGAGTCCAAGCTCCAACCACTGTGTCCCGGTAGCCCCTGTAAATGAGAGCCCTGATGGGGGTGGTCAGAACTCAGCAATGTTCAACTCCTTCTCTGGGCCCTGCCATCGCTGCCCACTGCAGCTGACTTCCCTCCAGACCCTGGAGAAGAGTCCAGCCTGGCCAACACCTTGATGTCAGCTTTGGACAGTGATGTCAGTGTGAACTCTTGGGGAGGCAGCAGGGAGCCAGTGCTGTTTTAAGCGCTTAATTTGTGATAACTTGCTGTACAGCCAGAGAAAACTAACCCAGGGAAATTCAGTTAGGGGGAAGTCTGAGCCCAGGGATGGTGGATAGCTGTGGTCATGAACTCCCCGAAAGTTTGGTCCAGCCTGAGAACACAGCAGTACATGCTCTGTGACCAGTGCTCCCAGGATGCCTGAGGAGGGTGAGACCTGAGTCTGTCTGGAGACCCCACCTGCCCCCCCCCACCTGCTGCCTGGCAGGAATGTGGGCTCAGTGTGGCCAAATAGCCTGATTTTTAAAGAGAACCCAGAAATCCAATTTTTTTAAAATGAAAAATGCCCTTGTTCAAACTTTAGTAATGCTGTGCTGGTTGGCCTTGTGTCGACCAAACAAAAACACAGATGTGTGTTTTGAGCCAGATGTGACCTCTTAAGACAAAAGAAAAGGCTATGAGATCCCTGGAACACAGCATGAGCGCTCCGAGTGTGGACTCTTGGGGAGGCAGCAGGGAGTCAGAGCAGCCAGCCCCTTCCTCCCATTCAGAAGAGAAAGGGAACACTCCTGGGGCCAGGGACTATGCAGCATACCCTTACGGGAACCTCCCTAGTCACCTGCTGTCACAGGGGCTCTCGGCCCCAACACCACATGAGAAAACTGGTCAAGAGGCGGCTTAGTTATCACCTGTGGTGACACGGATGGGGAAGAGTCACTCTGGGCTCAACACGACATGAGTCTGCCCAGCGGTTCATAATGGCGTCCAGCTTGGACTATTTGATTCTGGTCATCGCGTTGCCCGAGGCCTGGACTTTACTCTCCTCGCTGGATGACCGCCATCTCTCCTGCTCCTCCATGTGTCCAGCTCCTACCAGGGCGGCCACCCCATCCCAGCAGCATCCCCCCCACCCCTTTCACCCCTCCCACATTCCCACCCTTCAGATTTCATTCTTCTGCTTTCTTGTAGCTCAGTCTCTCACTTTCCCAGTTTCAGATTCTTGAGAAAGGAATCTAATGGGTGCAGGTCCTTTTTTGGCCCCAAGTCAAAATGGGTCATAGGTCAACTGCCAGCCCAGGCATGACCCTGTGTAATCTCTCTCCCTCTCCCCTCCCCCATCTCTAAGCAATCCCCATCTCAGGGCCAAAGGGCAGAGGCTGTGATTAAACAATATGAGTAGGATCCTCAGGCAGCAGGGGCTTGGCCAGCCATTTCCCTCAAGAAGGAATGTGGACACCGCCGTGGCCCAGAACCTGACAGCAGGCTTGGATGGGGGTGGCCTGGACCAGTTCAATGAAGTGCTCACAATAGAACACACCATCAGTCTGAGACATCCACAGCCGCCCTGACTAGGGGTATTGGCAGGAACACCATGTGGATCATTTGTGTAATGACCGGGTGAAGCACAAAGTGAGGAACTACTCCAAGTCCCTACATACACCCTCAGCGATTTCTCACATGGAGTAGGGTGCTCACAGGACAAATGCTCTCTTCCTTTCCCACAGGGAGGATATTTTGTTAGCAACAATCTCACATTGCCTTTTTCTAGCATGAGAAATGTTGAAAGGCCCCTGAAGAGCCACCAAATCAGTAGGGGTTGGAAAGTTTAGACAGACGATGAGGTTGGGGACTCATTTAGCAGAGGGAAGGGTGGAGTTCTAGGTCCTTCCTCCATACGAAGCCAAACAAAGACCTCACTTTGAATGGAGAGTGGTGGCAGGTTCTTAAAGACAACCTTATGAGCTTATATGACACAATAAACTGCACGTGTATACATAAAGTGCACAATTTGATGTCTTGACCTACACAGACACAAAGGAAAACATCACAATCAGGATAATGAATCTATCCAGGATAATGAATCTATCCACCGTCCCCAAATCTCCTTATGACATTTGTTCTATCTCCTCCCATCTTCCCCACTCCCCATGCCCTATCTCTCTGCAATCACTGATCTTTCTGTCACTATAGTTTGCATTTTCTAATATTTTATATAAATAGAATCAGATAGCATGTACTAGGTGTTCTCTGGTCTTTTTTCCCGAGCATATTTTGATATGCACCCATGTTGCTGTGTGTATACCAATACTTCATTCTTTTTTATCACCAAGGAGCATTCTGTGGTGTGATGGCACAGCCTGTCCTCCCATTCACATTTGATGGACATTTGGCTTAATTCCGGTTTGGGACTATTATAAACACATCTGCCATGAAAATTCATATATGAGTTTTTATACTTATGCATATGCCATCTTTTCTTTTGGAAAATATCTAAGAATGGAATGGCTGGGTCACTGGGTAGACATGGTTTGAGCACAGTTTGATGAAACTTCCATCTGGGTTTCAGAGTGTCCACATTGTGTATATTCAACCAATAAGATAAAAGTACACACAAAGCACACGCAAACCAATGACACACCCACGCCCAAGGAGGTCACATCAGCTGCAACCAACTTCATCCTTGTTTTCCCAAATATGAAGAGAGCTCCCAGAAGGAAAATCTCCTGGGATGACCTTTGACTCTCTAAAAATGTCAATGTACAAGCTCCTGATGGCACCGACACTTTAGAAGTGGTTCCCAGAGGGCCATGGAGCCAGTCTCCAGGAGATGCAGCATCTCATTGGTCTGGAATTGAATAGCCATGGTCAATACTGAAAGCTTCAACATGAAGTAAAACTGAGCAGGCATTCTCCAGGCAGGTCCCATCAGTATCACCTAGAAACTTAGAAATGTGCGTTCTCCCTAGCCCAGACCTAGGGCAGAAACTTGGAGGTGGGGCCCAGCCATCTGGACTTTAGTCAAACTTCCAGGTGATTCTGATGCAAGCTCCAGGTTAAGAACCACTAGCCTAGGTAGGATATCTCCCAAGCCCTTCAACTCTCCTGGAATTGACTCCTTCAGAAGTCATAAAACATCAAGAGCAAGACCCTTGGGAAGAGGCCAGGGTGAGCCATTTATGTTCCACCCACAGAGCTGTGGTGCCCACCCCTTTAGGCCCTACAGCCTCATGTTAAAGTCTCCTCATGGGTCCAAGATACCATTCCACACAGTGATGGTTATTATGTCTTTTCCTAAAGCATAAAACTTAAAAAAAAAAAAATGGAAAAATATTCTCAGGAACTCAGTCACCAGAGCTGTGAATTCCTACTATCATAATTGCCCATTCCTCTTCATATGGCTTTTACCCAGGCATATTACTGCCTAAATGGACCTAAGAAAAGAAAAAAGACAAAGATTTTAGGTAATGCACTACAATACTCTTTACTGCTTCGAAACTCCCACTGCAAATTTACATATCAGCAAGAAAGTTAATCAAATTTGAACAGGAAGAATCTGAGTAAAAATATTGGATACTTTTTCCTTTAATCTTCAGATTAAGCATGGTTTCCACTCGGCATTATAACCAGAGGGTTCTTCTTTGGTATTTCTGCATGGTTAAAACTTAGCCCAGTCCTTGAAAACCTTTTCCAGCTTCTGGCCAAGCAGAACTTTGCCGCTCACTTTGAACTTGCCGGCAAGGAAAGCCTTCTGTGGGTTCATTTTGCCCAAGACCAGCTCCATAAAGACAGGCTCTGGTATTGTGAAGACAGTGTCTGCTGGGAGCCGGGCTGATCCTGGATACATATCTCCAGAGCCATTCTTCAGATCAATGGTCCACTGCAAAGCGGTCTTCCCATCTTGGGTGATGTCCAGCTGAAAGATGGCATTGACTTTCTTTACCAACTGGGCCCCCACCTCTCTGATGTGATGCCTAATGTCCTCAAACACCGGGGAGCTCTGGAATCCCGACAGCTCTGGAGGGTGCGGCATGGCAGGTTCCCAAGCTGAACCCAGAGCCTTGAACGGGCCCGCCTGACGTCTGTCCCCTGTTTTGATCTTGGGTTGATGGTCGAATCTCCTCCACATCTTGCTGTGCTGGCCCTCTGGCCTTGCTGTCTGGTCTGTGAGCAGCTGTGACCAGATTAATATCCACAGATCAGATTGTGACATCAAAGGTAAGGCCCAGGTAAGGCTTAAGGCCAGTATGTATGCTGTGGTTTTATTGGCCTAACACAAGCTCAAGTATGACATGAAGGGCGGGCTCAGATGGTGATTATGAGACAGATCCACACACACGCATACCCCCAAACCAATCAGGGCTGTTGGTTCCTCAAACCCAAAAGGTCTAGACCCCACAGTGGGGATAAAGGAAACTGGCTCCAGAAAGTTCTTTGATGATATGAACTCTGTCTTTTCAATGCAGGCATTTTTCAAGCAGCAACTCTAACTGAGAGAGCAGTTATTCTTATTTATTAAAAGCGGGTAATGCTTAAGTTGGAGATCCTGGTGTTGAATGTGACTTTATCTGGCTGCTGGTAGAAGGGAAATGCTTTTAGACCAAAGAAGCTGATTGCAGATGGGGAGAGAGAGAGAGAGAGAGACAGAGAAACAGAGATGAGAGAGGGAGACAGAGAGAGAGAGAGAGAAGAGGGAGGGAGGAGATAGAAAGGGAAGGAGGGAGAGGGAGAGATTGAGATTTCAAGATGCTGCTGGTCCCATCTGACAATTGCATATGATAAAATAGCCCTTACTCTGATCCAAGGTTCTGAGTTCTAAGTACCATACATGCTTAACACATTTAATCTTCATTACAAGCCTCTGTGTCCGGTACTATTTTTATCCCTATTTTACAGATGAAGAAACTGAGGAAAGGAAAAATGAAGTAAATTGACCAAAGTCACACAGCCAGTAAGTAGTGTGAGCAGATTTGAACAGAGGCAGAATGACTCGAGAACCTACTTGCTTATTTCTTTCCTTTTTATTTTTAAATAATTTCAGCCTTAAAAAGTTTGCAAGCTGGGCTCGGTGGCTCAGCCTGTAATCCCCCACCTTGGAAGGCTGAGGTGAGTGGATTGCCTGAGCCCGGGGGTTCGAGACCTGCCTGGGCAACTTAGCGAGACCTCATCTCTACAGTAAATTAAAAAAAAAAAAAATTAGCCGGGTGTGGTAGCGTGCGCCTATAGTTCCAGCTACTTGGAAGGATAAGGTGGAAGGATCGCCAGAGCCCAGCAGGTCAAGGCTGCAGTGGCCGGGAGTGGCCACTGCACTCCAGTCTGGGCGACAGAGTGAGACTCCAACTCAAAAAAAAAAAAAGGTTTGCAAAAATAATACCTGTTTAACCTGCACTCAGCTTCCCGAAACATTAACGTCTTCTATAACCACAGGACAATGATCTAAACTGAGAAATTCACATTAGTACAAGACTATCAACTACTGTACAGACCATATTCAAATCTTGCCATTTTCTGGTCCGGGAAACCCCCTTGCATTTGATTTCATGTCTCCCTAGTGTCCTTCATTCTGGGACAGCTCTTCAGTCTCTATCATATCCTTGACACTTTTGAAGACTGTTGGCCAGTTATTCCCTAAAATGTCCTTCAGCTTGCGTCTGCTTGACATTTCTCATGGTTAGATTGAGGTAATGCATTTGGGCAGAAATGCCACAGAAGGGACATTGTCCCTTCCCAGTGCATCATATCAAGGTGTGTAATGTTATGTCCTGTTTCTGCAGATGTTATCCTTGATCTGCCAGTTGACATGGGTTCACCAGGTTTCCCCACCACAGAGTGGCTGTTTTTCCCTCTGTAATTAGTAAGTGTCTTGTGCAAGGTCCTTTAAGACCTTGTAGATACCCTGTGTTACATTGTCCCGTGGCCCACTCTTCGGATCGCCCATACCTGTGATGATCACGTGATGTGGGCAGATGGTCATTTTCTATTCCCTTCACTCCCTTGAGCCCTAACAACTACAATTTTGCTGTAAGGGAGAGCTGCCTTTCTATATTTGTTCAGTTATTTATTTCAGTACAGACTTACGGAGATGTGTTCATTCTGTGGGTCATAGTCCATTGTTATCATTATTTATTTTCCTGCTCAAATCTGCACCATGTGGCTTCCACTAGACCCGCCACCCACTTTCCTGGCCCTTCCTGAGTCCAGTCAAATTATTTAACAATGCTGGGCCATGGCTTGGGCATGACCAATACTTGCAGGGTTGTCTGTTCTATCCTGGGTTCATAAGTATCAACCTTGCCCAAGGTAACATCCTGGAGCCTGCATGGGACACAGAGAAGGGACCGTATGTGATCCCTGCTTCCAGGGAACTTACAACCTGGGCAGCAGAAGACACAAGCTGAGAAATCTAACTGTAAGAAAAGATTGATCATAACTGCTTAGGCAAAAGGTGGGGAGGTGGCACACCAGCAGCCCCAATCTGCACACCAAGCGCCAGCAACCTCTCACCTGAAATTTATATGGCTCCTTGGTGTCTTGTTTGTCTGTCCCCAGGCAGAGAACCAGAGATGGGAGCTCAAAGTAGCTTATTTGTGAGGTGGATGAATGGGGAGGTGAGATGGAAGAGGAAATGCAACTATCAGAGGATGTGTACTTAAGAAGTTATTGGGGGGACTTGGAGTTTAATCTTGCAGGAACTCTAGAGAACTCATGTATGACAAGTTGCCCCCATCCCATGAGGGGAAAGGGAGCTGGAATTTATCCAACCAGCCCATCAGCCACTGCTCCTGGGGACATTCATTCCAGAATACAGAGAAAGCAGCAAGGCAGGTGTCAGTGGCCAGAGAAAGCCCTTGGGCAGGTGCAGCCAGGTGGAAGCCAGACCCCAGCCACTGCTGTAGTGAGGACAGGGCATGGCTGGGGCAGCCACAGTGTCTGCCACACCTAGGGTTCTGCTTTGGGCTGGCATTTCGCTGGCCCCATTATGTCAGAAAATAAATGGAATCAAACAGCATGTAGCAGAAAGACACAAAAGACTGCATACTTTTTGCTTCCATTTATATGAAGTTCTAGAAAAAACTAATCTATAGTGACAGAAGGCAGATTAGTGCTTGCCTGGGAATGGGGTTGGGGGCCTTGTGAGGACTCTCTAGAATGATAAAAATGTTTTGCACCTTGACTGTGGCGGTTACACAGGGCACACACTTGTCAAAACTCCCCCAACTGTACATTTCAGGCCTGTACATTTCACTGTGTATAAATTTTATCTGATTTGTTTACATCTTTTAAAAATGTTTAAACAACTCAAATAAATAGTAGACAGGGTAGCTACCTAGTCCTTTCTAGCTTCTAAAAAGGACTTCTGGCCTGAGCCTCCACTGGCAAGGCCCTCCAAAATAGTTTTCCAAAGTACCATTTTATATTCCCACCAGTAAGGGCATGAGAAGTCTAGTTGCTCTGTGTTGGGGACTGAATGTCTGTGTTTTCCCACAATTCATACATTGAAGCTCTAATCGCCAGTGTGATAGTATTAGGAGGTGGGGCCTTTGTGGGGTAATTAGGGTTAGAAAGGCCATGAGGGTGGTACCCTCATGAGACTAGTGGCCCTATAAGAAGCAGAAGAAGCATGGAAGTCCCCACTCTCTCTCTCTGAGCATGCGCCAAAAGGTCATGTGATCACACAGCAAGAAGGTGGCCACCCACAAGACACAGGATGTAGGCTCAGTGATCTTGGACTTCTTGGCCTCCAGAATTATGAGAAATGAATTTCTGATGTTTAAGCCACTGAGTCTATGATATTTTGTTATAGCAGCCTAAGCTGACTAAGACACTGCACCCCTGTCAATACTTGACTGTTGTTTCTTTAGTCATTTGTCTTCATCTGTTTTGTGTTGTGCCAAAGAACTATCTGAGGCTAAGCAGTCTATAAAGAAAGTAGGTTTATTTGGCTCATGGGTCTGTAGGCTGTACAAGAAGCAGGGTGCCACTATCTGCTTCTAATGAGGGTCTCAGGTTGCTTCCACTCTTGGTACAGAAGGTAGAGGAGAGTTGGCTCTACAGAGATCACATGGTGAGAGAGGAAGTGGGGCGGAGGGAGGTTGGTGGTGCCAGGCTCTTTCTAACAACCAACTCTGGAAAAAACTAATAAAATGAGGACTCATTCATTCATGTCCTAGGAGGGTATTAATCCACTCATGAGGAATTCACCCTCATAACCTAAACACCTACCATTAGCCCCACCTCCAACACTGAGGGTAAAATTTCAACATAAGATTAGGAGGGGACAAACATCCAAACTATAGCACCATTCTAAGAGGCGTGTATAGCCCACGTGTCTTTAAGTTCTAAGACAGTGACAACAATGACAGGAAACCTCTTCAGAGGTGATGGTGAACAAATATCTTCTAATATCTGATATGGCATCAGGGAGTAGCATGTATTACAGTGGGTAAGGCCGTTATCTAAGCAGAATTTTACCTCTTATTTTGATGAAATAATGCGATACATCAAATTATAGGTCTTAATCCACCACACCCAAAATAGGATTATTTATCCACAGTCTTTCCATGGCTTCGATGTAAATGGAGCAATTTCCCCAGCCCTTTGAAGCTGAGTGTGGTCACTCATTTGCTTTGGCCAGTGGGATGCTATTGGACTTGATGTGAGCAGGGCTTGAAGTGGCTTGTGCAGTTGGGTTTGCTCACTTGTGCTTTTACCATGGCCATGAGAAGATCATGCCCTGGGGAACCACTGGCCCAGGAAGGATGAGACACATGTGGAGCTGACCTTGACCAAATCCAGCAGAGTTCATCCAAGATCAGCCAAGCAGCAAATCATCTTGTGAACCCATAAGGATAAATTCTGATTGCTTTAAGCCTCTGAGTTTTGGAGTGGTTTGTTACTCAGCATTACCATGGTACTAACTGACGTAAAGCACAAAGAAAGTAACAGCTGGACTTGCAAACCAGTCCTCGCAGGCAAGATTTTCAGTGCTGAAATAGACAAGGCTTGAAGCAGTTACAGCCACAAAGAAGACACAGTCAGTGCTAGGACCTGGCTGAGATGATGACATAAATTTCCCTATTTGAATATGACTACATACTCAGTTGCTTTTGTCTACACTCTTGTTATTCAAAATGTCTGTGACTAGCAGCAGTGGCAATCCTGAGAGCTGGTTAGAAATACAGAATCTCAGACCCAATCCAAACCCTCTGGAT